GAGTAGCCTTTTAAAAAAGTGCTTTCACTGTTAATGACAAAATCTTTCAGTGCTGTTACTTTTAGTTTTACTTTGATTTAGTTTAATCAAGTCATCTGAGCCAGGACAGGCTTTATACGTGTTGCCATTATCACCAATGAAATGATGTCAGATGGGCATTTCAGACATATAGAAGAGCTTTCTATAGCTGTTCCTAGTATGAGGAGTGATAAAACGGTGGGTCCTGAAGGGCTTCCAATTGAGATTTACAAGTAATTTAAAGAAAAAATAATATCTGCTTTACTAGATTTGCATATGAAAGGTTTTCAACAAGGTTCTCTCCCTACTTCATTGAGAAATTCCCTTGTCACTCTTATTTTGAAGCCAGAACAGTCACCTGTGGCACACACACAGTGAATGGTTGATCCAGCAGGGTAGTCTGAGGGCAGCAGGCGCGGGTCTCACCGAAGTAGGGTTCATTAGGGCAGCCCTTGAGCCGAACACCCCGCGGAGTGCACTCGATCAGGAAATGACGCACCAGCTCACTGGACAGATCACCACCTGAGAACACACACACACACACACACACAGCTGATAAACTCTCTGCACGCTGTAGACTCGTAATGGCTCATTCTTCAGCTAGGGTTTCATTTTAAACAAATCTTTAATGTGACTCAGGAATGATGAGTTGTCTCAGGGATCTATACATCCATCCATCCCTCTATCCATCTGTCCATCCCTCCCTCCATTCATCCATAAATCCACCTATCCCTCCTTCTACCTGTCCACCCCCCATCCCTCCCGCCATCCACCCATTCATCTGTCTATCCCTTCATTCGAGTTGAATCATCCATTCGTCATGTGAAGGCCATGACCCATCATATGCAGACAGAGCCGCTCTCTGTAATCTATAGTCCTGGATGTGGTGAGAGCGGATCAATCCCTCCTCCAGAGGCATGTGGTTCTGTAAATGAGCTACACTATGAGTTTCTATCACTGAGGAGCTCCAAATCACTTTCCAGAACCTTTCCATTCGCTGTTCCCCACTGGTGGAAGGATCTTCTGATTCCCACTCAGACTCTCTCTTGACAAATCTCTTTCTTTATCCCGTTCCACTCCTGCTCACGCCGTTTTTAAAGAACATCAGAGACTTTGTATGAGGAGTTCTTCATTGGAGTCTCGACTCTTTACGCTGACGCCGTCCACATTGGCAGTGGCTTCGGGTGGAAGCGTCTGCTCAGTGACTGAAGGTAAAGCATGTTAGGAAATCCTCATGGCACATTCACACAGGGCATCATCATGCTTCTCATCTACTCTGGAGACATCATGTGTTATGGAACTGAATTACGGACTGTTTCAGAAATATGGAGCGTCGTGTCGTCTCAGAATCTGAACAGGAGAACAGCTGGAAACCGGTCTGGGCTAAAGCAATGCTAAATTTGGGCTGTTCTGAGAGTTCTGAGAATAAACCAAAAGCAGACTCGTCCTCAAACAAACAGAAATGAATGACGGGACAGATAAACTCTGCGTGATCTCTCTGTCTGACCACTGGTCTAGTTTTGGCCTATTCTTAGATGCCTATTCGATGTTCACTGATGGACCAGATTTGTCCTTGTTTAGGCCAAGTCCCCTGTGAGATGTGTGTCAGACACTCAGTTGTTCAGTGGGTGAAAGTCCTGCTGAGTTCTGTTCGTCTACATGAGCTCCTGACGCTCCCCGTGTGCAGCGGCCGTCTCCAAACAGATAATCTGGCACACAATGACTGCTGCTGATGGCCCAATCATGTGGACGAGCAGATCCAACCCTGCAGATAAACACCGTGTACCAGATGTGTTGTGTGTTTCTGCCATGTGTTGTGTGCTTTCTGCTAGATGTGTGTTGTGTGTTTCTGCCATGTGTTGTGTGTTTCTGCCATGTGTTGTGTGTTTCTGCCATGTGTTGTGTGTTTCTGCCATGTGTTGTGTGCTTCTGCCATGTGTTGTGTGCTTCTGCCATGTGTTGTGTGTTTCTGCTAGATGTGTGTTGTGTGTTTCTGCCATGTGTTGTGTGTTTCTGCTAGATGTGTGTTGTGTGTTTCTGCCATGTGTTGTGTGTTTCTGCCATGTGTTGTGTGCTTTCTGCTAGATGTGTGTTGTGTTGTGTGTTTCTGCTAGATGTGTGTTGTGTTGTGTGTTTTCTGCTAGATGTGTGTTGTGTTGTGTGTTTTCTGCTAGATGTGTGTTGTGTTGTGTGTTTTCTGCTAGATGTGTGTTGTGTTGTGTGCTTTCTGCTAGATGTGTGTTGTGTGTTTTCTGCTAGATGTGTGTTGTGTGTTGTGTTGTGTGTTTTCTGCTAGATGTGTGTTGTGTTGTGTGTTTTCTGCTAGATGTGTGTTGTGTGTTTTCTGCTAGATGTGTGTTGTGTTGTGTGTTTTCTGCTAGATGTGTGTTGTGTTGTGTGTTTTCTGCTAGATGTGTGTTGTGTGTTGTGTGTTTTCTGCTAGATGTGTGTTGTGTTGTGTGTTTTCTGCTAGATGTGTGTTGTGTGTTGTGTGTTTTCTGCTAGATGTGTGTTGTGTGTTGTGTGTTTTCTGCTAGATGCGTGTTGTGTTGTGTGTTTTCTGCTAGATGTGTGTTGTGTGTTGTGTTGTGTGTTTTCTGCTAGATGTGTGTTGTGTGTTGTGTGTTTTCTGCTAGATGTGTGTTGTGTGTTGTGTGTTTTCTGCTAGATGTGTGTTGTGTTGTGTGTTTTCTGCTAGATGTGTGTTGTGTGTTGTGTGTTTTCTGCTAGATGTGTGTTGTGTTGTGTGTTTTCTGCTAGATGTGTGTTGTGTGTTGTGTTGTGTGTTTTCTGCTAGATGTGTGTTGTGTGTTGTGTGTTTTCTGCTAGATGTGTGTTGTGTGTTGTGTTGTGTGTTTTCTGCTAGATGTGTGTTGTGTGTTGTGTGTTTTCTGCTAGATGTGTGTTGTGTGTTGTGTGTTTTCTGCTAGATGTGTGTTGTGTTGTGTGTTTTCTGCTAGATGTGTGTTGTGTGTTGTGTTGTGTGTTTTCTGCTAGATGTGTGTTGTGTGTTTTCTGCTAGATGTGTGTTGTGTGTTGTGTGTTGTGTGTTTTCTGCTAGATGTGTGTTGTGTTGTGTGTTTTCTGCTAGATGTGTGTTGTGTGTTTCTGCTAGATGTGTGTTGTGTGTTGTGTGTTGTGTGTTTTCTGCTAGATGTGTGTTGTGTGTTGTGTGTTGTGTGTTTTCTGCTAGATGTGTGTTGTGTGTTGTGTGTTGTGTGTTTTCTGCTAGATGTGTGTTGTGTGTTTTCTGCTAGATGTGTGTTGTGTGTTGTGTGTTGTGTGTTTTCTGCTAGATGTGTGTTGTGTTGTGTGTTTTCTGCTAGATGTGTGTTGTGTGTTTTCTGCTAGATGTGTGTT